TGCCACAGTTTAAATATATAAACCATGAGTGACTTTCCTGATTTTAGGATATGTTTTACTGACCAGTTGGTATCAATCCAAAACCAGAATTCTCTGAATACTTTGAAACCATTTATATATTTCCAAAGTCAAAATTTTTCTTAATACTCTGAAATTAAGACTTCAGCCTACTTGGTGGAAAACAATCCAAACATTATTTATCTAAATGTTAGATCATGTCAATGTTAAGCAAACTAATGCTCTCAATATACTTTTAAAGAAAAATGTCTTTGTCTATATTATACGTCCTCAACTGTATTTTAATAGATCTGAGATACTCTTTGCCTTTTGCCTCAGTTGGCCTTTGTAGTAATAGGCCGCCTACCTATTGCCAGCTGTATGCTCAACTACCAAGTAGTCACCAGGTAAGCCCTGGGACTTGTAGCCCCTTAAACATGTCTTCACATTTCTGCTTCTGATCACTCTGAGCTTCCCTTTCTTTTCAATCCTATTCTTTGCTTATCTAAATCTGACCTTCAAAACCTTTGAAATGTCACTTCCCTAATGAAAAATGTCCTTTTCTTCCCAAGCAGAAGTCATCATGTTCTGCTCTATGCTCTCGTGCCTCTTGCTAGTTTCTATCATAAATTAGAGGCTCTGAATGACTATTTAATTTCCCCTCATAAGCCATAACTTTCTTAAAGTCTATAATAGTTTACTTACTTTTCTCTTCAGTGTCTAGCACATTGTCAGCAATTATCATAATGTTAATATGCATTGTTAATTAATAAATTACCTTTTAAAATTATCTCTTTTTAAGAAGTTATAAGAAAGGGTATCTGTTTAATTTTTCTTAAATAGGGATATAGAGAAAATAGGTAATTTTATACATCTCAATATAACCCAAATCAGTGATTAGGTATTTTCTTATTTTTCAATTAATTTTTTATTTATGTATGACAGCAGAATGCATTATAATTCTTATTGCACATATAGAGCACAATTTTTCATATCTGGTTGCATACAAAGTATATTTACACCAATTCGTGTCTTTATATATGTACTTTGGATAATAATGTCCATCACATTCCACCATCATTTCTAACCCTATGCCCCCTCCCTTCCCCTCCCACCCCACTGCCCTATCTAGAGTTCACCTAATCCTCCCATGCTCCCCCTCCCTACCCCACTATAAATCAGCCTCCTTATATCAGAGAAAACATTCGGCATTTGTTTTATTGGGATTGGCTAACTTCATTTAGCATCATCTTCCCTAACTCCATCCATTTACCTGCAAATGCCATGATTTTGTTCTCTTTTATTGCTGAGTAACAACCCATGGTGTATATAGGCCACTTTTTTTATCCATTTATCTAATGAAGGGCATCTAAGTTGATTCCACAGTTTAGCTATTGTAAATTGTGCTACTATAAACATTGATGTGCCTGTGATCCTGTAGTAAGCAGTTCTTAAGTCCTTTGGGTATAGACCAAGGAGAGGGATAACTGGGTCAAATGGTGGTTCCATTCCCAATTTTCCAAGAACTCTCCATACTGCTTTCCATATTGGCTGCACCAATTTGCAGTCCCACCAGCAGTGGATGGAGTGTACATTTTTCCCCACATCCTTGCCAACACTTATTGTTGTTTGTATTCATAATAGCTACCATTCTGACTGGAGTGAGATGAAATCTTCAGTAGTTTTGATTTGCATTTCTGTAATTGCTAGTGATGATGAACATTTTTTCAGATATTTGTTGATTGATTGTATATCATCTTCTGAGAAGTGTCTGTTCAGGTCCTTGACCCATTTATTGATTGAGTTATTTGGTTTTTTGGTGTTTAGCTTTTTGAGTTCTTTATATACCCTAGATATTAGTGCTCTATCTGATGTGTGAGGGGTAAAGATTTGCTCCCAAGATGTAGGCTCTCTATTAACTTCACAGATGGTTTCTTTTGCTGAGAAGAAACTTTTTAGCTTGAGACCATCCCATTTATTTATTCTTGATTTTAATTCTTGCACCAAAGGAGTCTTATTAAGGAAATTGGAGCCTAATCCCACATGATGAAGACTAGGGCCTACTTTTTTCTTCTATTAGATGCAGGGTCTCTAGTTTTATTCCTAGGTCCTTGATCCATTTTGAGTTGAATTTTTGTGCATGGTGAGAGATAAGGGTTTAATTTCATTTTGTTGCATATGGATTTCCAGTTTTCCCAGCACCATTTGTTGAAGAGGCTATCTTTTCTCCAATGCATGTTTTTGATGTCTTTGTCTAATATGAGATAATTGTAATTTTATGGGTTAGTCTCTGTGTCCTCTATTCTGTACGATTGATCTACCAGTCTGTTTTGGTGCCAATGCCATGCTGTTTTTGTTACTATTGCTTTGTAGTATAGTTTAAAATCTGGAATAGTGATACCACCTGCTTTACTCTTCCTGCTAAGGGTTGCTTTAGCTACTCTGGGTCTCTTATTTTTCCAGATGAATTTCATGATTGCTTTTTCTATTTCTATGAGGAATGCTATTGGGATTTTGATTGGAATTGCATTATATCTGTATAGTGCTTTTGGTAGTATGGTCATTTTGATAATATTAATTCTGCCTATCCAAGAGCAAGGTAGATATTTCCATCTTCTAAGGTCTTCTTTGATTTCTTTCTTTAGGATTCTGTAATTTTCATTATATAGATCTTTCACCTCTTTTGTTAAGTTGATTCCCAAGTATTTTATTGTTTGTTTGTTTGTTTGTTTTTGAGGCTATTGTATATGGGGTAATTTTCCTCATTTCCCTTTCTGAGGATTTGTCACTGATACACAGAAATGCATTTGATTTATGAGTGTTGATTTTATATCCTGCTATATTGCTGAATTCATTTAATAGTTCTAGAAGTTTTCTGGTGGAACTTTTAGGGTCTTCTAGGATATAATCATTAATTTAAAATTAAATTAAAATTTAAATAAAATTAGAATTAAAATTTTATATATAAAATTTTATATATAAAAAATTAAATAAAATTAAAATTAAAACTAAATTAATTTAAAACTAAATGGCAATGGTACAAGCAATAGTTATTTCACATCTACAGTGATTGTCATGTGCTTTCATAATATTAATGATACATTATACTCCTCCCCCCCACTCAGGAAGGTTAGTCACCAATGACGATCAGTTAGAGAAAACATCATGCTCATTTATGCTGCCTTCTAATTTGTCATACATTATTTAATCTTAATGAATTTCAGTTTCCTCATCTTAAAAATAAGAAAAATCATTTTCAGCCATACCTATTCTAATTTGTTTGAGAGATCATAAGATAATGTAAGTAATAGCACTTTTGTAAAATTGTATACAAATGTAAGGGTATATGAGGGACATTCGTATAAGGAACATTAAAAGGGTAATATGAGGGATTGTGTGAGTAAATGACTGAAATAGATCAGATTCTTTCAGGTCAAATTTAAATAAAACACCAAATGAAATGCTTAAAGCAAGGAAAGATTTTGGTGTGTAATAACTTAAGTTTTCATCACAAATAATGGTGATGAAATTTGGGTAATTCCAAAGAGGAAAATATGAAAATTACTGAATTATTTTTCTGCTTTATGAATTCTATAAGACTGCAAATTCAATCTGAGAAGTCCTTATAAATGAAAGAGTTACAGATCTGAAATAATTTCCAGACTAATTTACTCATTGTTATCAATTAGAAAAAATGATTCTGTTTCCTTCTCTCATACTATTGAGGTCAGCTTATAAAAATCCAAGACTTTTTCCATAATACTTCATTTCATCTGAAGTTTTAATATACCTGCTGAAAGGACATATGGAATGCAGAGGTTAAGGAAAGATCTCAGCACTCATATATTCTAAACAACCTCAAATCTCAAGTTCCCCCTATAGCACCCTTACTATGTTGGTCTTCACATGGATGGATGGATCAGGAAAAAAGATGAAACTCAACTGCTGATTCACAAACCATACACAGAACCTTATACTAGAAACAGAAACACAAAACTGGTTGTCATTCTCTAGATACTTGGGAAGGTTTCCTCTTGGTCATCCAGGCCAATGGTGTCCAGTTCTGAATTAGGGCAATTAACGAATGTATTTTCAGTTTTAATTCCCTTTCTCTCTTAATGAGAGTTAATCATCATGTCTATAGACATTTTCTGAGTACCAGCTCTTGCTGTTGACAACAAAACTCATTTCTTTCCCAAAGGAGTCACTGAACAAAGCCTGTCTTGAATACCAAATGAACGCTGAGGAGGTAGATACTGTTAAAGTCACTTTGACCCTTCACGGCACACACATGGGCCTTGAGGATTATAAGCATTTAGTAGTTATGTGATCTACATGCCAAGATGTCTTTAAATGAGTTGACTAATCTTCATATTGTGCTTATAGTTGATGTCATTATTTAAAACTTTTTTTTGACTGCCAATAATTAATAAGCATAATGAATGGAACTTTGTCTCTTGTATTTTAGATAAATTGCATTGCCAAAGAGCAAAAATTTAACTAATCTTCCCTCTTCTCTACTTTACAAGCCAAAGTTAAAAATTTAACTTGGTATAGAAATTCAATTTTAACTTTATATCCATGTCATAATTAAAACATGAGTAGTCAAATTAAACTAACATTGCCTAATAACTTCTTTCCTGTTGCCATCATATCATGTAATCATTTTGGAAGGTAGCTGATGTTGTTATATATTAAAGACTTCCCTGGAGCATAACTTATAACTCCAGGAAATCAGACAGAAAATTACCTGCTTTATTAAAGGGAGAACAAAGTCATTTTGTGAGAAGTTATCATGATCTTGGGGTGACCTCATATGGAAACCAGTGGCATGGAATTCTGTTTAGATCAAACTCTATGATTTGTTTTTCAAATTTTCAAATTTGTTTTTAATTCCTTGATGGTGATTTAATGTTTGTATGATATATATATATATATATATATATATATATATATATATATATATATATATGAGTCTTTAATAACTCCTCTGTCTCCCTTAGAAGATAAAGGAAAGCTGAAAGCCAACAGTTCCAGTCAGCCATCAGGCTCTGAAAGTGGCTCATTTCTCCTCAAATCTGGCACAACTGCCCTGCCACCTGGGACAGCCACTTCTCCCTCCAAAAGCACAAATGGAGCACCAGGGTCTGTTGCTGAATCCGAAGAAGAGAAAGCCAAAAAATTGCTTTATTGTTCACTATGCAAAGTGGCTGTGAACTCCCTGTCACAGCTAGAGGCACACAACACAGGTTAGCAGCTATCTTTCAAATTGAAATAAAGTTTATAACAAAACCCAACTTTTCCCATCAGAATGTCACTCTGTTGTTCATGAATGAAATGTGTATAGTGTCTTCTCTACCATTTGAGTTCAAAGGAATGATTTTTTAAAGTATGCTCATAATGTCTTTGGAAATAACAAAGCAAAAGCAGTTTAAAGATAAAACTTATTCTATTCTTCATTCCCTCAAAAGCATCAAATACTTTCCATAACTCAGTTGTTTTCGGGGGGTGGGTACCAGGAGATTGAACTCAAGGGCACTTGACCACTGAGCCACATCCTCAGCCCTAGTTTGTATTTTATTCAGAGACAGAGTTTCACTGAATTGCTTAGCACCGTGCTTTTGCTGAAGTGGACTTTGAACTAGTGATCCTCCTGTCTCAGCCTCCTGCTGGGATTACAGGCTTGTGCCACCACCCCTGGCTCCATAACTCATTTTTGATGAGGTAACAGAGATGAAGACAAAAAGTTTTATGCAATATTCACTGCCACACACTTTATAAGAGAAAAAATAGAAACAATAGCTTATCGATAAGGAATATTGAATAAATTATAGTAACCAAAAATGATAGAATATGTTAATCAATAAAATGTAATTATTAGAAAATAAATACATGATTTGATATTTGAAAATTTCAGGATATTTAATTAGTAAATCCAAATTCTGAAAATACACATTTGTTAGCATAGCAAAAAAATTTAAAAACCCTGATAACCGTGGTTACCTATAGTGGTACAACTCTATGTAATCTTTATTTTCTCAGTATTTTGGATATTTTATTATACACTCATGTTTTCCCATGTGTTACAATGAAAACATGTTAAACTTACAATTAGTGTAAAAATGATGCTAAAAAGGCACTGGGAACTTCAGCCTGAAGATAACCTTCTCAAGGATAAGAAAATAAAGAGCTTCATGCCAGGCTACATGCTTATATTCCAGCTACTTGAGGCTGATGCAGAAAGACCATAAGTTTGGGACTAGCCTCAGCAACTTAGTGAGGCTCTGTCTCAAAAAATAAAAAGGGCTGGTGATGTAACTCAGTGATAAAAAGCCCCTGAGTTCAATTCCCAGTACCAAAAAAAAGACGATGACAATGACAACAAAGACAGGAAAAAGTAAACAGAGAGAGAGAGAGAGAGAGAGAGAGAGAGAGAAGTTGCTTCCTATAGTTCTTAAATAGCTGTTTAATATATGCCTTTTTCTATTTTAGGATCTAAACACAAGACCATGGTTGAGGCTCGTAATGGAGCTGGTCCAATTAAGTCCTATCCTAGACCTGGATCAAGATTAAAGATGCAGAATGGCAGTAAGGGGTCAGGACTACAGAACAAGACATTTCATTGTGAAATCTGTGATGTTCATGTTAACTCGGAAATTCAACTCAAACAGGTAATGAAATTAGTGTACTCTGCTCTTTGGGGTCACTACGTGAAGATCTCTGTCTCCTCCTCATCTACGGAGTGGTTCTCACTGTGCTCACAGTTAACTTTACTAACCTTTATGGGATGCATAACTTATGCAACATAAAAGTGCTCTGTGGAAAAGAAAGTCAGTATCCAATAATGGAGCATCTACTACTGTATGTCAGGTTCCAGGTTAGATGTTAGGGATAGAAGGATGGACATAAAAACCACACAGAGCTTACAGTCCAGCAGAAGCCACTGGTAAGTCTGCCAAGCCCCAAAGTCTAGGTAGAGAGATTCTTCAGTAACAGTGGAAACACCAGGAAAAAAATCTGATAAGGCCTATAGAAAACAAAAGATGGAAAGGAGAAGGTCATAGAGAACAATGGGAGCAGGAAGCAGGTCTTAAAGGAGGTAGTAAAGATTTCACCCAAACCATTCTAGAAGGATGAACCAAGAGCTGGAATGGAGAAACCAGCAACCTCTGTGTAGGAAATGTATCTTTCATGGATTTAGCTTATGCATCAAACATTTTTTCAGCACATTTCTAGCCGGAGGCATAAAGACCGAGTTGCAGGGAAGCCACTGAAGCCGAAATACAGCCCTTACAACAAACTCCAGCGGAGCCCAAGCATTTTAGCAGTAAGTTCACTCGCCTGCTCACCTTTTGGGGAGGGCAGCCTTGCTGGGTTGGGCAGGAGCTGTAAGGAGGACCTAGGGACTAACAGTCATGGGAAGGTTGTGAATTTATCTATTTTATCTTGACCATGCTGGGGATTGAACCTCTAGGACCTCACACACGCTGAGCATGTGCTGAGCATGTGCTCTACCACTAAAGTACACCCCTAACCTAAAGGCTGTGAATTTAAACAACCTACATAGACAGAAATTTTAGAATGAACTGCTTAGTTCCTGCTATAAGGACATCTTGAAGAAAGCTCCTTTAGGAAAGAAAAATGCCCAGCAGGGTATGGTGGCTCATGCCTGTAATTCCAGCTGCTTGGGGGCCTGAAGCAGAATTATTGCAAATTCAACATCAGCCTCATAACTTAGGGAGACCTGTCTTAAAATAAAAAATAAAATTAAAAAGGAACTAATTACCTTATTCTTTACCAAGACCTTGTCAGAAGACTATCTTCTTTACTATATAAGGAAAAGCAAAGACTCAGGATAGGGCAAGTGATGCCTGAGGAATCCTGGGATGTGTGGAACCCGGGCAGAGAGGTTGCTTTCATAAAACAAAATCCATCCATTTAGTTTAATATCCCTGTGTTTCCCTTGTGTGTGTGTGTGTGCGCGCGCGCACATGTGCTTGCACATGTATACAAAAAAGTAGTGTTTATATTCCATTCTAGCAGGCATGTTGGTAATCAGCCTATCCTACCTGTTCTCAATATGTACTGTTTTCTGTGTTTTGCAAAAATACCTAGGGACTTCAGCAGTAGGTGTCATATAAATACCCAGATGGATGGATTTCACACTCTCCCTGGGACCTGGCCCAGCATGGTATTCAGTCTGAGATGAAGCTGAGATTGGCCAGCTGGAGGTGGTGCTGAGTTTACCTTCCAGCTTTTCCAAAGCCTCAGCTTCTGCAGCAAGCTGGTGGTATCTGCATTAGGCAAACCCATCTTGCACAACTCCTCTGACTGCAAAAGAGAGAAATTAAGGATTATTTTTCTACTTCACATGAAGATTCTACCCTGGGACTCCTTTAAATAGAGAAAGTTTCTAGTCCACTAATAGTCATTCCCAATAACAGATACTTAATTTAGCTAATTTTTCAGGAAATTCTCATTATGTGGCCAGGGAAAGGAAGGAATTGACTTTGTGTGTGTGTGTGTCTTTTTATTCTTCCTGGGTCCGTAATGTCCTGAATGAACTCAGTTACTTACCTAAATTTCAGTTTATCCAAGAGCAGTGATGTGAAGGGTTGTACTTCTCAAAAAAAAAAAAAAAAAAAAGATAAAAGAAAAAGCAAGAAACTTTTCTCTAAGCTACAAGGTGGTTTAACATAAGTGTGAATTTTGAATTGAGATCCATTGCTTAAGCAGGAAACTTCTGGGCATGTTTTGTTTTATTTGTTTCTTGCTGAGCCCCTTTGTGTCTATTCATAGAGATGCCCTGTGCCCTAGTATCCAGGATCAAAGACCAAAGAAAGACTTGAAATGGGAACAACTCAAAATAAAACTATATCAATACTAAAAGACACTGACACCAACTTGGGGAAAATAATCATCTCTTCACTCCTGAAAGTGGACTTTAAATTTAAGACTTCTCTGTGGTGCTGTTATTCGACAACAACCTGCTCACCCCATTCCTGGTCTTTTTCCTCTCATTAGGCAAAACTTGCATTCCAGAAAGATATGATGAAACCTTTGGCCCCAGCCTTCCTGTCCTCACCCCTGGCAGCAGCAGCGGCTGTGTCCTCTGCACTTTCACTGCCACCCCGGCCATCTGCCTCGCTCTTCCAGGCTCCAGCCATCCCTCCAGCTCTCCTGAGGCCAGGGCATGGGCCCATTCGTGCCACTCCGGCCTCCATCCTGTTTGCCCCATACTGACATCTGCAAGCCCCAAGACCAGCCAGGCCAGTAGGAAAGTCAAGAAGCCAAGCCAAAAGGATTTCAGCAACTTGAGCATTTTGTGTTACAGTAAGTATCCCACCTACCCACAAAATGCAGCCTACCACCTCAAACCCCAGCTCCAGTGAAAAACAAATCACTAGATTCAAGAGTGCTTTTATGGACCGATCAAATCATTTTGGAATGTGAGCAGCACAGGTTCCCTCTTCCCTCCCCGACTCGACCCCATTTAATTGGTGTATCTGAGAAATCTGGGTTCTTGAAAATGTACAGTCAGAAAGTAAATAAAAAGAAAACCAGTCTCTATTTTCCCATGGTATAATCTGGCTTAGAACAATATGGAATATTTTCCTGACAGACTTGAAATCTAGGATCTTCCTCAGATGTCTGTAAATAGCTCTGGAATCCAACCGGGCATATTCTAGTGTGGAAGAAAAATAGAACACAAGTGCTTATTTGTGAATACCATCTTACCAACGGATCATGTTTTCTTTTTGGTGTACTCTCGTCGACAGGGATTGTGTACTGTTTTAGACCCAAGTACTGTTGTATCCTGTGTAGTACTAGATTGTATCTCTTGTCTGAATTCAACATCTTTAGTTGCTGTGTAAATGTTAGGAAGCAAAATAGCTTTGAATTTCTCGTTAAGAGAACAAAAGATAATGTATTTTCTTTATTTCATATTTTATTTGGAGATATTTAAACAAAATAGAAAGCCATATAACATAGCATAATTACTACCTGTTTGCTATTTTTTGTCTAACTTATTTTGTAGCTTCCTCACTGGTTTGAGTTGCTAAGCAAATATATACAAACACAAAAAGAGCTTCCTAAATTGCACATTTTGGCACCTCCTGTGCATTCTGCAAGAAGACAATGAATCCATGTATTTCTACGTAATTATCTTCATTTTTAACCTGTTTTCATTTGTAATGATGCTACATAATTTTGTGGCTCCCTAATGCAATAATGTACAGAAGATATAAAATTTATAATTGAACAATTTGTCTTTCTGTTCACTGAATATGTTGCAGGTCATGCTCCCATGCCCCCCTTTCGAAGTTGGTATCAACAAGACTAGAATATTTGTGATATCAGGGGCAAGAAGTATCATAAAACAATAAAATAGTGAACTCTTTTAGAGTATCTATATCTGCAATCTGTAAATGGTAAAATGTCTGTGTATTTTTTTAAATGTACCTTTTCAATAAAAGCATCAAAAATAAAAATCGGTTCATATTTCCAGTATTATTTTCTCCTGAGACTCCCTCTAATTTGAAATCACCTGATGAAAGATTTTTTGTAGGAACAAAGATTGCTTCTTACATATTTATCATTTTTAGCTCTTATTTTCTGCATATTTATTTGTCATGTTTATTCATTGCCTCATGAGGTGGAACATGACTGCTGTTTCCTCTCTGAATCTCTAAGAAGTTGGGCCAAAGTTGTGAGTTGTCCAAAATCATGGTAGCAGCCTGCTAAACATTTTTTACTCTGATTTTTTAAAAACTCACTGAAGGTCTTCTACATCCCCAACTCCTCTTTTATTGGTGTCCAAGGCATTTATGGTTCTCCTCTTTAGAATTTTATTCCACTCCTCCCCTTTCACCTTCTCCCTTTGCACAGCCTTCTTTCCTTTTCCTTCATTCTGTTACTTTTAAAGCATAACAATCATTGTTTGTTTGGGCCATCTATTCCTGTTCAATGAGCTTCTTTAAAACTTTGTAATGACAACCACTTGCTTACATCAGGATTTCATGGGCCAAGAATTCCAGCAGGGTTTGGCCAGGCTGTCCTGTTCCCCAGAGGAATCAGTAGCCTTTCCTTATTATTCAGCTGGCAGGTGGGCCAGGGTGAAGGGGCCAAATGGCTCCACAGGGAATGGCCAGACAGTTGAGCTCCACTAGCACAGCCTACCAGAGGGCCTGGGCGGGAGCTCCCAGCATCCTCCTGTGGTCTCAGGTAGTTACATAGTGTATTTCAGAGGCCTAGGTGGAAACCAAAGACTCCTTATGAAAGAATTAGGAAACTCCCAGCCACTTCTGCTATATTCTATTGATCAAAAATGTTTCTAAAACCAATTCAGATTGAAGGGAAGAAAATTAGACTTCTCAGTGTGAAGAAGAGCAAAGAACTTGGCACCATCTTTAATCTACTACACTGCTATAGAATTTTGAGGGGAATGGTAACAAAACTATTACAGATCTTCTTCCTTCCCACCTAAAACGCAGACCCTGTCAGTTTTTATAAATGAGAACCAGAATGGGAGGTAGAACTAACATACTCATTTCTAAAAAATTAAGGTCAGTAGATGGCAGTGTAGCTGTGATGCCTGGTATAGACTTCCTTCATTAAAGATGTCATCCAACTATTGAAAAATTGTTGACTTTAGTTCTGAGGCTTATAAACAGGTTAACTTAGAGTACAATAAGATTCCAGTTTAAAATTTGGAATTTGGCGTGTTTACTTTTTTAAACTGACTCATTGGAACTCTAACCGATATTGGTTAAACTTAGTCGAACCATAAGATATGATTTATACACAATGTTCTCATGGAATTTTGTTTTAGTTTAACACTTTGGAGAACTTTTTATTTTTATGGACTTCAATGGCAATTATATTTTATTTATCTTGCTTTTCCTATGGCTCATTGAAGCTTAATGCAATCCTCAAATTTTTTTTAAATGTCAATATTGAAATAGACCCAGAAATTTACTAGTTAGATTTATAGAGTTAAGATTTTTAAATCACCTTGGGGAGGAGGAAGTACAATAGAATAGCAATTAATTAAAATGCATGCCTCCAGAAGAAGCTGTGAGTAGCTTCAAGCGATGACTTAGGAAACACTGTTAAACAGATATATCTTATCATGTGCTCTGATTCTCAGATGTCAGAGGGGTCAGCCCTGAGGTGGGGAGGTGCATATATTTGAACTAATATCCCTTCTTGTGCCATTTCTACTGGGAGAAGATGCTGACTTCATGTGAAAGTTGAAAACCACACTGCTTTCCTGACTTACTCCACCTCAGGTCCTGTAGAATTGGAAAACTGGCCTCAGGTAGTGTTGCCTGACACAAAATACCTGATTACATCTGAGTTTCGAAAGGCAAATTGTTTAGTTTTTTAATAATATTTATTTTAATAATTTTGGTATGACATTGCACCTAGCATAACTATGTCCCATAAAGAATTATGCAATATTTGGGGGTATATTTATACCAAAAGATTATTTGTTGTTTATCTGAACTGTAAGCTTAGGTGGACATCCTGTGTTTTTATTTGGTAAGTTGTGTAATCATTTTCTCAAGAGCATTCCTTTTCATCTCAGGTACCATAATGCTTCGGGAGAGAAGTTACCTCTTGGGTATTAAAAAGTAAATAATGAGGTTTTGAAAGGCCTATTGTGAAATACACTTGCAAATAGGCAGAGAAAGGACCTTACATGAAGTAAACAGAAGATATATTGACAATAGGTAGGAACAGGACAGGAAAAAATGTAGCCATAGATGCCATTTACCTAAAGCTACACTGACACCTGTTTTACCAAAATTAAATTATTGAAAAAATAATAATTTATATTATACACCAAATGCATAATATCTGATTTTTTCCCTTCTCTGTCCTAAGAGAATTCTGATTTTTCTAAGCCAGAAATAGAAACAGTTATACAGAATTTTTCTCTCAGAAAATGCTTTAAGGAAAACTACGCTATAGTTAATGTGTTAGAGAAAGAACCAAGGAAATTTCCACTGGGAGAAAACAGAAAGAGGAAAGAGCTGATAGAATATCTTGTGGAAATTCTTTTATGCTAAGATCTCCAAAGGGAGTCTAAAGAGACTTCACTGAGTTGGGGGATTATTTGGGGATTTATCTGGGAGGTCACTGGAAAGCAGGAGTGGAGAGATGGCCAGGAGCTTTTTGATGGATGAGAATTAGGTCAATACCAAGACATACACCCATTTTCAGGTAACAGGCCATTACATTTCACTTCTAGGTGTGCTGTGTGAATTCTGGTTTCTCCTAGCAGTGTCCCTTCCTTCAGATTCTGTTTTATTAATATGATGGCCCTAAATATCAGAATTGACATGGCCTCTTTGGGAAAATAGCAGTTCCTGGTACCTTGGTAGGTTAAGGAGAAGCTGTGTGGTACAAGGGTAGATTCCACAAGGGATGCTCATCTTTGCCTCCTTCCTTCCTCCAAGTAATTAGTTCCATGGGGGAATTCATCAGGGACATGACGGTGCAGCTTCTCAGCAGCTATGGAGTGTGACTAGGGAATTAGCTCATTTCTTTGGCTGAAATTTCTAAAGCAAGAGTGACAATATAATGTATTCTTCTACTCTTAGCTAAGTGCTCAAAATGCATCAAACCTGTGGTTGTCAGAATTCCTTCTGTAGGTACGATGAAAATATCTTCATGTCACATTGTTCAGTTTAAGAAGTCACTTTTCCACAGATGATTGGACAAGCTTGCCATTAAGCACCTGCTTTTCATTTTTATTATACTGTAAAATCAAAATTAGGATTGAAGACCATTAAATAAGAATAGTATATAATTTGCCCTCAAAAAACCTGAATTCAAATCCTGACCATATCCTTTGCACATTAGGTCTGTTAATTTTTTGTCAGAAAAGGATTTTATTTCATTTTCCCAGCCTGTTTTTCACATATATAAAAAAGACATAATGGTATCCAACTTAGGGTGGTTCTAAGAAGCAAATAAAATTAAATAGGTAATGGGGCTGGGGTGGTAGCTTAGTGGTAGAGCACTTGCCTAGCATGGGTGAGGCACTGGGTTCAATTCTCAGCACCACAAAAAAAAAAAAAAAATCAATAAAGGTCAATCAACAACTAAAAAATTTTTTTAAATAGGTGAAAATGTTTTTGTAAAGTTTAACATGCTCTATGAATTTTCATAATAAATGTATAAATACATTTTTTCTAATTTTAGATTTCTTAAATTTTAAGTAGTTTATCTTAAATTAGCCAATCTTATGTGTTTAGTGGTGACCCAGATTCAGATAAAACTACTTCTGTCATAAGAACAGCAAACTCATTAATTGTAATTTTATGTTCCTATTCTAAAGACATAATTCAAGTAGAAGTATACTAAGATAATAGATTAATATATAAGAGATAGTTTGGGATTTTAGTCTTGTATTCCATATAAGAAAATCAGAATCTCAAATCATAATAAATCCAAAATATTTTTGTTGTAAAACACAATTCCTGTTATGAAAAAAAAAATTAATCTTTCTGATGTAAAGTATATAAAAATACTAAATAATTTACTGAGTGTGGTGGCATATGCCTATAATCTGATGACTCTCAGGAGGCTGATGCAGGTGGATTGGAAGTTCCAGGACAGCCTCAGCAACTTAATAAGACCCTATCTCAAAATTAAAAATTAAAAAGGCTGAGAATTTAACTCAGTGATAGAGCACTCTGGGTTCAATCCCCTGTCCCTAAATAAATAAATAATAAACATACAAGCTGAATGAAGGAAATATTAATAACTCATATGATATATAATAGTTCATTTCTTTATTATTCATAGAACTCACATAAAATTTGGGGGAATTCTTTTAAAAAAGGAAAGAGAAGCCAACAGAAAATGTGAGCCAAAAAACACATTCCAAAAAAATACATATATATTATGTATAAGTTTATATATATATATATATATATATATATATATATATGAGATATAAGATATTTAAAATTATATACATAATCTTAATAAGTATGAAAAGATGTTTGTCCTTACTGAAGTTATATGAATGAAATCCATATTTTTGTTCTACAAATAAAATCAACACATTTAGATTTAGCATATTGACACAAATTTTCATGAATTTTATAAATATTCTGTCAAATTGAGTATAGGGAAATGGATACATTCATGCACTGTTGGCTGTAATGAAAATTGCTTCAACTTTTCTGGAAGAATCATTTGTCATATATAACATTACAGCAGTTATTCCTTAACTTTGACACAGAAATTCCATGTCCTAGACTACACCCTAAGATATTAACCATGTAATTGTAAAAAGATGATTCATACATAGAATGTTTCAAAATAATGAGAAAACATACATTCATAGGGGATAAGTGAAGAAATTATGCAAACAATATGCATTGAGGAAGAGCATGACCATTAGTAATGACATAGTTCTCTAAGTACTGACAGGAAGAGTTGCCCATGACATATGTCTGTAAGAGGGTACAGAACAGCTCCTTATGATCTCA